TAAGGTGTTTTGTCACAAGGCAGCATGCTTCTGAAAGCACTGGACCAACGCATTTCTCCGTCCGGCAGCCTCTCGTGTGGGATCCATGGCTGCTTTTGTAATGCTGAGCCACCACACAGGGCTCTGACAGCATCTCAGTCCCCTGCGCTTCAAGGTTGCCATCAGCAAGTGCCACACTCTGAGAAGAATGCGTTCTCTGTGGCCAAGCCTGGATAATTTAATTTGACACAAGGACTTCGGTGTCATCGAATGGCACCCTTGACTGCTGCGCCTTCACCAGGAACCGGACTGTCTCCATGTCAGCTGGTGGAAGGGGGCTGCTAGCATTCAAGAGGCAGTGTCTGCCAAAATAACTCTTGTAGTACAAAACACCATTGGATGGCATATTTCATTTGTGATACAGTTTTTCTACTTCCAACTTGGCTTTACAGCACTAACCTAACCATGTGAGAAGTGATTTCTTGGACAAAGCACGCTCTTGCCTATGGAGGCCAAGTACAGCTGCGAAGGCAAATACTTTCTTCATCTATACAGCTAGAAAGCTGGTGCTCCAGTGATTATCACTGAGACATCTTAACCTCTAAGCACCTTTTTGACTGGCTGAGATTTAACGCAAACTGTTTTAGGAAGCTGTATGGTCAGGGCAGCCATTGCCCCTGGGGCTCACGTTCACTGTCTCAGTCTCTGCTCAAACAGGCTTTGCGGGCATTCTGAAGCACCACAAAACCCAAAGAACACACGAATGGCGACCGTAGCGGACGAGGTGCACACCACTGGCCACAGTGACTCCAGTGGAGCAGATTCAGCTCTCCATCATCACGATAAAGCTTTATGAACAATGAAAGGGGTTTTTATTCTGTGTGTGTCTCTGAAGTTGCTTTTTCCATTGCAGTGGTTGAAAAATGGACTTGGAGCATAGCTCTCTTACCTTTTATAGATAATATGAAATACAAATCATTTTGTGTAGATCACCGCTAGTGATCTGGCATCCAGAAGAGCCTTTCTGGCCTCATTCATACTGGAGAGGAGCCATTCCAAAGAACTGCCATAGCTTGATCTGATTTGCTGATCACTGCTTTTTAAGAATGAGTCATTTTTGGTTGTGTTTAGCTATTAACAAAAGAAGTTTATATTCCTAGAAGAGGCGGCAGTCAAAACAGTCTTCATACCTCTTTCTCTCATGATGATAAAGCAACAATGAATCCCAAATACATTTAGTATGAGGAGGTATAATATCATAATGCAGAGACGAGAATGATAGATACGTTTAGGCTGGGTGACAGCAGGTGTTCAGGTGTGACAGAACAGTAGGTGCAGGCTTTTGAAATGTGCTCACTTGCAGTAGTGTTTGACTGAAGAATACAGTTGATTCTCCCAAGTGTCATCTGTTGTGTTGTGGACAAGCAAGAAACAATTCTGAAAGCTACTTTAGACAACTTTGGGCTGCAGTTTAATGACTTGTAATGCAAATAACGCATTGAAAGCCATTTGGCCACACTCCAGTTAGGAAGAGAACCTTGCTGCTGCAGAGCCCACCTTTGTAATGAAGCACTTCTACTCAGAGGAGCCCTATTGGCCTGCCTCTTGAGATTATGAAGCTCTTGGGGACTTCGTGGTTACTTTGCCTGCACCTCAGACGCGTGACTCCCTTTCTGCAGCAGGGACAAACTAGCAGTGATCTCCCTGAAGGCCCAGATTTCCCCAGATCTCCTGGCATGATCCCACTCCAGCTCCAGGAGGATTCCTCCAGCAGAAGTTTAACATTTTCCTATGTAGCCTTCCCATTTGAACATCAGTGGAGCAGGATGCGACCACTAAGAACATAAGGTAACAAAATGGGAATGCGTGTGTTTGGAGTAGCTAGGCTTCCCTCCCTCAGAAGTAAACATGCGTGTTTCCACATCCAGCTGCTCCAAACTGAAAGTTTCTGTAGATGCATCATGAACACTCGTATGCGTGAAGCAGGCTGGGGGTCTCCCATGGCTATTCTCTGTTGTCAGTCCCGCCCCAACCTGAGTCTCCATGTCCCTTTGTCTATTATTCACCTGTATCTCTGCTCTTGCCAAGCATGTCCCAGCATTTGCAAGCTGAAATATGTGAAACTGCATATAGCTTTATGTTTAGTAATTGGCTTGATAGCCACTGGTGACAGGAATGTGATGCAGGCAACTAGACAGTTTTGAAGTCTGGAAAGGCTATTGTATGTGTAACTTTAACTGGGGGATTCTTTACAAAAGTTGGGGCCCCTTTGCTTTGGTAGGGAGTACTTTTGCTCATTTCGGAGTACCTCTTTTCCTACAATGGTAGCATAGATACCTTTCAAAGGGGCTCGAGATCACTGCCTAATCCTTGCTGCTTTGAATGCTGCAAAGTTGGTTCCATAAATACTACAGTTAAAAGTGTGTTATTTTAACAAAGTAATCACAGAGGAAGATGGATAGTCATTGATTTGGATAAAAACGACACAGACTCTTGTGGCATCTTAAACACTGACACATTTATTATGGCATAAGCTTATAATACATTAGTTAATCCATTCATTTATTTATTAAATTTATATTCCACAAGTGAATAGTCCAACAGGTCTCAATGAGCAGATAGTCTTTCAAGTGCCACAAGGTTTTTTGTTGTTTTCTGCAACAGGGCATAGCTGACTAGTAGTTGTTAATTTAGAATAGATGGTTGTGTTTCAATAAGGAAGACCCAAGCTGCTGTTTCCCCTGTTTAATTAGAGCATTTTCCTCTTCCCATCTTCTTTGGAGGGGAAAGCAGTTACCCAGCTGCTCAGTGCATTCTGCTGGTAAATTAGACCCTAGGGCTCTTGGTACTGCAGCAGATTCTCTAGGGCCTATCAGAATGCTTTTCCCCTCTAAAAGCAAGACAACAGAGAATGCTACTGCAGCAAAAAAAAAAAAAAAAAGATTCAAACTTCATCCAAAATATTCAAATAAACTGTGCTACTATCTTAGATCAATAAAATAATTTAACTGGGCTTGGGAATCCTCTGCAGAAGGTTGACTGAATTCAGGATTTTGTATCTTATTACTTGGATACACTCTCTACTTTTGGCCTCAGTAATGGTTCAAAAAGGTGACTGTTATCAAATAAATGCTGAATTCCTTATTTGGCCAAGATGTGTTTCAGTTTTGAATAGCAATATTGAGCAATATTAAAATACAAGCATCATTTCAGTCTTGGACTAGTCCGGGGTTGTGAATTGCAGCTTTTTATTCAGTTGTTGGTGTGCTGAAGTTAGGGTTCACTAACTCAGAATGAGTTGTTTCTGGCCTGATTCTGTGCATCAGGGCATTGTTGTTAAGGCAAGTACTACCTAAGGATCAGGTTCCTGTATATAGGACAAATAATTGAGGACATACCTTAGAAGATGATTACTTATTTTTTATTGGTGCCTCATTAGACCTTGGGAATACTGTCATTTTTCAGGTGGAGAAAAATATTTAATAGCCCAGCTAGAATAAACCCCTTTCTATCTGTATCAACACAGTGATTCTTTAATGAATGCAAGCATAAAGAAGTTTAGATAATATATGTGTTTGGACAGAGTTTCAGACCTCAGACTGTTCTAACCTAACAGGAAATCTTTGCCTTTGAGAAAATGGTGCTAATTTCTAATTTGTGGAAAATCTTGTCAGAACACTTGCATTATTGTGTGTGTGTGTGTGGGGGGGGGGAATAATTAAAATATTTTAAAAATTCTCCTTGCTGTGAATAAGAGCATTACCAATGGTTCAAGAATTTTGCGTCAAAATCTTGCTGTAGGCAAGTTCATTCCATTTTGAAGTTGGTTAACTTGACTGAAAATGAAGTGAAATCAGAGATTCTTGACCCATTTTCAAACTGTTTCCCATTCTGCGTTGCCTGGTATGTCAGGACCCCCTTCAGGCCTGCTGGAGAGCCCTGTGGCATGGCAAAAGACTCCTGGGGACTTTGCCAGACCTGCTGGGCTACAGCCATTGTCCAGCATGAACTGGAGAACACCGCCTAGGCTACAACCCACCCAATATTTTTTTGGTTCTGAGAAGAACAGTAATGTAAATGAGGCCAATCTATCTCTTGGAGAAATCCACCTGCAACCACTGACATTTATTCATATGAAAATGTTTGCATCCCACCTCTCTGAAGTGCTGTAAGCCATTTCAAGCACATTTTACCATTGGGAGTGCTTGGAAACTTATCTGGATGTTAAATTCCTGTTTGAGAGACCTGTGAAAAGGTTGGGCACCACATTTGTAAGAGCAGCGTTTTAGTCAATCTTTTTTCGTTTGTTGTCATTTTATCTATTTTATTTGCTACATCTATATCCCTCCTTTTCCTCCAAGGACCTCAAATTGGCATGCATGATCCTCCTGACCATTTAATCCTTACAACAACCCTGTGAGGTTAGTTAGACTGAGCATCAGCAGCTCGTTCAGTCACCTACTGAACCCTGTAGCTGAATGGAAACCCGAACCCAGGACCCTCCAGTCCCACTTCAACACCGTAAGCACTGTGCCACAGCAATTTAATAGGACACCTCACCCAGTAGAATGCAGACTGGTAGCCTGTATTCCATTTTTTCTTTATAAAAAGCATCATTCCTTTTTTCCATAAAATAACAGCACTTCTATAAAATATAGTCAAACTACACCAACATGGAGTACACCAAAAAAAAAAAAAAAAACCCCACCAAAAAAACCCATCCCCTTTGTCAGGGAATCCTAATCAAAATAACAGAAATGGGACCATGAATTAGGGGATGAAGGCAAAACAGGTGGGGGTTGATTCTGCATCCTTCAGAGGTCATAGCAAAAGTAATGGGCACTTGCAAACAGCTGCTACGAAAAGGTTTCCTGAAGTTTTGCCCTGAAATACCTGGTTCCAGTGGTAAAATAAAGGACAGAGTGTCATTTCTCAAAGACATCCAGCTGTGTTTGCTGTCTTGTGTTGGTTAAATAATAGGAATATACAGAAACCTGGATTGTGTTGTGGTTCTTTTCCAGTAAATGAATTCACCGTGATCAGGAAGAAATTCAAGTGCCCCTACTGCAGTTTCTCGGCCATGCATCAGTGCATCCTAAAGAGGCATATGAGATCACACACGGGGGAAAGACCCTACCCTTGTGAAATCTGTGGGAAGAAATTCACCCGCCGGGAGCACATGAAGCGGCATACCCTGGTAAGTTGGAGCCTTTTTGAGTCATTCCCAGGTGTGCTTGAGCAGCTGGAAAACGGAGGGCAGCTTTGTGATTTAGATGAAAAGGAAAATGAGACTGGGCAGGTGGGCGCACTCATGTGCCCGGCCTGTCATGCAAGGCTTTTTGCTCTCCTTGTGGGGTGAATTTTGCAAACATTGCATGGCAAGAAGAGATAATTAGAAGATGGATAAATGATGGGCTTGAATTCTGAGGCAAGCTTTGGGAATATCAAGCACTTTTGGACGCGGAATGTAGCCACAAAGGGTTGGTTAACCTTGAAACCAGATGCATGCTGGCTTTTCTCATACCTACAAATCCCATGCAGATTCTTCTATAAGGTGACTTTAAGAGCCGTTGTTGTTCTAAATCCGTCCCCTGGGAATAAGCAGGTGTGCATTATATTGTTCTTCCATATTGACTTCCTGGCTCTTGTTCAAAGTCTGAAAGAATATTAGGAGACTCCTTGCCATGTCATACCTGTTGATGGAGCCCACAGGGTTAAACCACACTGGGTGATCCAAAGATGTCTGAATGTTTCCTACTGTGCCGCTCCAGCAAGAGCAGCCTTTTACAATATGTGCTTTTTACTTCCTTTTTGTTTGTTTGTTTAGGAGGGTGGTATGTCTGTTTGAAGCCTTTTCTTTGTCTCAGTTAAGCTCCAGGCTGTGTACTCCCAAAGAGCTGAACTAAACCAAACATCTCTTAAGTTACCTGGCAATTGTCCTGCGTGAAGACACTCTATCATCATGTCAGGACAAGTTATTGCACTTTTAGCTTCAATTGCACTAATGCTATTTTTAACTACAAAATTCAGTGAGTTTTCCCTTCTTCTGGAACGACAGCAGTTAATATGGACTCTACTTAAGTTCATATTTTCAAAGGCAGACTCCCTTCCCAATACTGCCAAATATCCAAAGGAAAATCGGGACCCAAAAAGATGAGGCATGTACTTGATTGACTAAGCACTCACCTGCTCCCTTGCTCTCTAGCCATGGTGTTACCAGGAGCCTTCAGGCAGTGTGCTCGGCTTCCGCCCCAGCTGCCTCCTGGAACAGCTCTCTTCCCTTTGTGGAGGGGGAGAGTTTTTTCTGTTGTCAGCTGATATGCCAGTGTCTGCCTTGGGCAGGTGTGAGCCCCACGTCTGAGCCTGCCAAATGGCAGCCTGTACAGATGAGATGGGCAGCTAGTCTGCACTGTTCCAACACGAGCGTTGAAGGGGCTTCTGTTATCTGTTGCCATAGTATCCTAACCCCTCCTGCCTGCCTGCCTGCCTGCCTTCCGTGAGCACTTGTCTATTCGGATGAGTGCCCAGCCATCTGGTCATAGGACGGATTGCTCCTGAGATGTCCCTTGATTTTCATCCTCCTTTGAGGTGTGCTTGTCTTGGGCTGCTGGTAGCCCTAACTCTACACACACACACACATACTCTTCACAGTGTGTTCTTCTTTGTCAAATGTAGACACTTGGTTCTACTAACTGAATTTGAGGTTCATTTCTAATCTCTAAAATTTCAGGAGGGCAAATTACAGTTTGTCAAACCTTGCAAATGAAAATGAAGACCATCGTGCTTGAGCTAGACTTATGAAATAATCTGTGAATCTAGGTGCCTTTCCAAAACCTGTAAAAGGTCACTTGATTTCATTCCTCTGAGACTCAGGGCAAATAATAACCAGTACTTATGGAAGCAAAGCAAAAGCACAGAACAGATAAAATGAAACCTCTTCAGACCCCAAAAGCCAGCTAAAAACAAATGTTGACCTGGTTCTTTGGGAAGTGGTATGGACCCACCCATCTGTCCCTCACCCACTTCTGGACAAGAAGCTCTGCTCGCCCTACAGAGTCTGTGAGTAGGTGTTGACGGCATGACTTCATCAGTGTTCATTCTGTCATTTTTTCCCCCAAAAGAGAGATTCTCACCTTTTAAGGTAACGAACCTTCTGGTGTCAAGAAAAAAAGCACCATTTATCCTGGTCTACCCGAGCATAACCAAGAACGAAATAGAGCTAGTGAGCTGCCCCCTATTTTGGACCAGTGCATTGTAGTGAATTGCTCCACGGCTTCGTCCATTCTTGATGGCTGGCCAAAGAAAATACGCTTGAAGAGAAAAGACTACGTTTAAAAACACTCTCCTATTGCGTACTATGTTTTAGCTGCTTCTACACCCTAAAACGCTGATCTGCTAGTCTACCTGCCTTAACATTGTCTTCTCCTCCCACCCCTCCCAAGGTCCACAGCAAAGACAAGAAATATGTCTGCAAAGTCTGCAACAGAGTGTTCATGTCTGCAGCCAGCGTTGGGATTAAGCATGGCTCCCGCCGCCATGGCATATGCACAGATTGCTCTGGGCAAGGCATTGCCAGCCACTTCCCTGCAGGTGGAGGAGACGGGTCGCCAGATGACTTGTATGGTACAGAAGGCCCCTATGTGGAAGATCCGGATGACCTCAAAGTAGAAGGAGATGAAGACCTGGGGGAGGATGATGACATAAAGTGGAAAGACGACATGGAAATGTCACAAGATGATGCCATGCTGGAAGATGACAAAGATGGGATTGACTCTCCACAGGGTCATGAAAACTCCGAGGAGACCGATAAGGAATTTTCTTGGATTGCTTAGGGATTTTTGTTTTTCCTGGTTGGCTTGGGATGGGGTAGGGAAGGGAAAACTGTTTGGGGAAAACTCAAGTCGCCTGGTCATTGTCCTGGTCTTGTGTGTGGAGGACTGTTTTTAAAGCAAGCAAGTCCTTCTTCTGTTCCATCCAAATACCCTCACAGGAAACACTTCTTGCTCTTTACCTTTCCCATCGGTTGACAAATGTGTCCCTATCTTTAAGTGAGAACAAGCCAGATCGTATGCAGGCAGCACGGAGTTTCCTCCCTCAAATCTATTTCCATTGTCAGCATAAATGGCAGAGGACTCATGCTTCTCAAACGGCTATTGGGACATCTCTACAATAGCTCTACTCCCAGTAGCTTGGGATTTGGTAACACGGTCACCAGTGGTAAACAAAACAATATGAGCATTACAGGGCTTCCCCTCAATGATGCAAGTTTGTCAGCTAGCCAGAGAGAAAATGGTAATTCAGGTCTGCAACTGGGATGCTTACCTGGAGGTCAGTTGGTCAAAGAATTCATTTGGCCCCTGGAGTTTGTAACATAAAGATGCTCAGAGCCACAGAGTGGTTCTTGCTTGGAGAAGAGGTAGGAATGCCTGCTGCAAAAGTGCCCCTTGTGGTCAAGTCAGGTAATGCACATCTTTCTCTGTGTTTGCTTTTCCCTTGTCCGACAATACATGCCATGCTTTGATTGGGCATCCTGGCAATTCAAGGTCTTGCCTTCTTTGCCGAGCTCTGCCAAAATCTGTTAATGCATATATCTGCTGGGTTTTTGCCGAGGCTTGGATGCACTAATTTCCCACAGCAACTGTGCCAATCCCAGCTACTGTACATAGCAAGCTGGGAGAACTGTGGATGCTTCACCTATGGCATCAGAGGAACCAGAGGTTGCCCTGTCCTGAAACAAGGTGAGGTGGCTGCTCCCAGTGGCAGAAATGTGGGTGCCATTAAGGGAAACCCGGTGGCCAAGACGCAGCTGTGGCCAGCAATCAGCGTGCATCTTGTGCCAGCCTCTGCTGTCCTGTGCTCTAATTTGTAGGAGGGACGATCCCATCTGATTTTTCACCGAAGGTACCCACATGCCTTCCTCAGCCCCAGGTGTCACAAAAACCTGCAAATCCTTAGCCCCCCCCCCCCCCCGCCTTGGGTATTTCTTTCTGTTTTGTTTAGTGCCTATTTGTTTTCATGCCCATAAATTCAAGGTATTGTTCTCTGTATTTAAGAACCTTGTAGATCGTCCACCTATCATCTCTAGCTACAGACTTGTACCTCGTAACATCCATAGAGAAATGTTCAGAGTCATGACACTGAGAACTGATGGGTGACATGGTTTGTGATTGATTGTTGCTGCTTTTCTGGGGCATCCTTAAAACAGGAATCGGTGTGTACCCCTGTATATTTACCTCTGTTTCTTGTGCTGGGCAGGTGGACACAAAAACCTCTCTTCTTTGCTGTTGGTTGATTTTTATACAGAATACTGTGCATGCTAAAGAAACCTAGAAACCTGTCACAAGAAGCAACTTTCAAATCCAGGGAGTCAAATGATAAAAGGTGCTATCATGTTTGTGTATGAGAGAGCGAGCGAGCAAGAGAGAGAGAGCACGTAAACAAATGCATGCAGTAAGGACTTCTGAGGCTGTGTACAGTATGACCTTTTCTTTCTTATTTTGGCACTCACTATAATTCAACATTTTTGGTAACCCTCGTTATAAATGAAGGAAGTTGGGAGCATCACAGCGAGGGGGCACAGCTATTCATTCCTCTCCTAACTTCTAATTGTAGCTATTTCACCCTTACAAGTCAGTGGAAGAGTGTGAAAGCCTGGTGAGAAACATTTGCTGTTGGCAATTAACTCCACAGAAAAACATCTTGAGTACCAGGCCAGGTAGCTTTCCACATCTTCTTTCTTCTTTTCTAAAGGGCTGCATGTTCAGATCCAGGATGAGCACTTGTTTAATGTACTAGGAATAAAATGGTTTCAAAGCTGCTCCAAGGATTGGGAATGTATGCGCCTGCCATAGGCACAGTCCATTTTGTGATTGCGATGGCCATACCAAAATATGTGCATGCCACCTTGTGGCCGTATTAGCCATACTTCTCAGAGCTTGTTTTGGCCCTCAAATGCACACTGCTATAGAAGGATGCAAACAGCATTTCTGGACAACTCCATAACAAGACCTAGTCTGACCAGAGATAGTGGAGGGTCTGAGAGAATGAATGTTTATATTATAGGCAATGACTGTTACACAATACATCTTCAGACTCTCTGAAAGGCAAGCCTCAGTATCCAAGCTGCAGACAGGAGAGCAAAATAAATTCCACCTGCATGTAGAATGCTTGGTCGTGACAGACTGCATGTCTCTTCTCTAGCAGATCATCAAAGCTAACTTGTCCAAATCCAAGGAAGTGAGTCCTCCGTGGTGGCAACCTTTCAATGCAAAATGCCTTTTTCTGAAGAGTATTTACTCTCCTGCACTGTGTTTAATTTAGGGATTCCAGCCCACTTTGCACTAATGAACAGATTCCTTAAAGGGCTTACCAGGAATAAACCTCACCATTTCATTAGGTCTGCCTCAATGCTTTATTAATAGATCATAGGGCTGTTTTCACCTTTCCTCTTCCTTTACTGAAATAAGTCTCATACAACATCTGTTAAGAGCAATGAGAGGGGAAGTCATCAATTTTACTTTACTGCAAAGCTTTCCTTCCTGGCCACCTCTTCTTCCTCATCAGGTTTTTCATTTCTCTGCACTGAAGGATGTATGGCAGGCACACCATTTTCCTGAAGTCTCTCCATGCCTTTTGGTGCTTCATCAACACAAAGGGAAGCTTGATTACCTGCTCTGTTGCTAGAATCAGACAGCGAACACTTTCAAACTGTAAACCTTTGTTTTTGTTTAACTAGTGAAACGTGGATAACGAAATATTTTAATACCCTCAAGAGAAAGTTAAGGGAAAACATTTTTTACAGAACTTTAGGACTTCTTACATTTGAGCTTCTCATACAGCCTTATTTAATTGAAAATACTTTATGATTGGATCATTATCTAATTCTCCAAGTGCTGGAGAAATTGATGATCATGCCGAATGCAAAATAGAAAACTTTCTTTCAGCTGCCTTTGCCCGTCCAAACTGCAGATTTCTACTTTATCCCTGGCAGTTCTGGAAAGAAAATACAGGAGTTAATGCTCCACAGACATACATAGTGTCTTGTATGGGACCAAGAACATCAGGAATTGAGGAGTTCTACATCTTGGCCTTAAGAAGGCACACTTCTACACATGATTATACAGGGGGGGAAATCCTACAAATTCCAGCATTCCACAGCCAGCACCTTATTGAGCACCATGGGAGCTTCTCATGGGGTCATTTTGGCTTGTTGCCACCAGTGGAACTTCCTGCTTCAAACACAGAATTTTACAGAGGTTCTAGCTGATTATTGTAACCCCTCCTGTGTTTTCCCACTATTTCTTCCATGGTGTAAACAACTAAGCATTTGATACTTAAAAGTTGCAAAGTCTGTTCTTGTTACTTTCCTTCACCACCTTTAGCCAGAATAGCAGAGAACTGGCACTAGCAAAAAGATACAAACGTCAAGTGGCGCTTAGTTTAAAAAGGGAGAAGGAAATCACAACGTTTCCAACATAAAGCTAAGCACCCTACTACAAAGCCCATATTTAAGAAGCAGGGAAACAGGTGAAATCCATGGAGGCTGAATAGTACCTTCGTTTCTGTCTAGTACAGCTGATGTGTGTGCAGTCCCCCACTCTCCAGAAAGAGGCACGGTTTAGATGCATCCTGCATGATCAACACATACCAGATGAGCAAGTACCAAAAAACCACTTCAAAGTCTTTGGAGATGGCTTAAAAACAGTATAATAGAGTCACTGATAATACGCACAAGGGAAAATGTAAGCAGGCAGGCAGAGAAGCAAGGAAACCGTTTGAAGAGCATATCGCTAACATCCAGGCTAACCATAAAGATTTTTTAACATATCAAAAAAGGAAGCAGCAGGAATTGGGCAGTGATGAAATTAAGAACACTAAGAGGGATGAGGAGGATTTTTTTCATCAGTCCTACGCAGCCGAGGATGCAGGGCGGATCCCTGTCCCCGAGTTCATGCATTCTGGAAGGGAGTCTGAGGAATTAAGGCAGTGGGGACAAGAGATTAAATTCTCACCCTTATTAACAAACTGAAAGTCAGCAAATCACCCAGTCCAAATGGTATCCAACCTAGAGTTCTCGAAGAACTCAAACATTAAATTGCTGGCCTTCTTACCAAAATATTTAATATGCCCATAAATTCTGCCCTAGTGCTGGAGGATTGGAGAATGGCCAACGTAAAACCAATTTTTAAAAACAGATCCCAGAAATTACAGGCCAGTTAGCTTCACACCTGTTCTGAGTAAACTGCTTGAAAACATTATTAAAGATAGTATCAGTAAGCACATGATGAAAAAAATTAAGCATAACTTCTGTAAAAGGAAGTCTTGATGAGGCAACCCAATAGGCATTGTTTACTTGGCTTTCCAAAAGGCTTTTGACAAAGTCCTTCACCAAAGGCTCCTGAGCAAACTAAGCTGTCATGGAATAAAAATGGTGTGTTTGGGGGTGGGGGGTGTCCTCTTACGGGTCATTAAGTGGTTAAAGAACAAAATACAGAAGGTGGAAATAAATGGCAACTTCTCCCAATGGAGAGATGTGACCAGTGGAGTCCCACAGGGGTCGGTAATAGGACTGGTGCTTTTCAACCTTTTCGTAAATGATCTGGAATGAGAAGCATGTGGCTGAGGTTGCTGATGACACTAACCCATTTAGGACGGCTAAAACCAAAAGGAATTGTGAGGAGCTCCAGCAGGATCTCACCAAGCCGGGGGAATGGACATCAAAAGGACAAAAGCAGTTCAGTGTAAGCAAGTGTCATGTAATGCCATGTTGGGGCAAAAAACTCCAACTTCGAGTATACACTGATGGGCTCCGAGCTAGCAGTGACTGAGAAAGGAAGGGATCTTGGGTGGTAGTCAGCAGCTGGATGAAAACGTTAGTCCCATGCGTAGCTGCTCTGAAAAAGGCAAACTCCATGCTGGGCATCATTAGGAACGGAATAGAAGATGGAGCCACCAAAATCGCATTCCCCTTCTACAGATCTTTGGTACAGCTGCACTTAGAATATTGTGTTCAGTTCTAGTTGCCTTACTTGAACAAGAGCACTATTCAGTTGGAAAAAGTACAGAGAAGGGAAACGAAGAAGACCAGGCTGCTGCCCTATGAAGAATGGCTGGAAGAACTGGGACTGTTTAGCACAGAAAGAAGACGAGTCACAGGAGACATGACAGAGGTGTTTGAAACAAGGGGAAGGTGGAGAGGGAGACATTTTGCTCCCTCTCCCATGACACTCAAGCCCAGGGTCATTTGATGAAGCTGTTGAATGGGCGTTTTAGCACAGACAAAAGGACAGACCTCTTCATACAGCATGTAGTTAAACCATAGAATTTGCTGCCACAGCAAGTGGTGATGGCCACCAGTTTGGATGGCTTTAAAGGGGGGTGGACAGATGCATGAGGGAGGAGGCTGTTGGTGGCTACTAGCCTGGCTGGCCATGTGCTCCCTCCTTCCCCAGAGGTGACAGGCCTGCGTGCACCAGTTGCTTGGGAGCTTGGGCAAGTGGAGGTCTTGCCCCCATCCTGCTGGAGGGACCCTGTGGGCAGCTGGTTTGCCACCACGTGTATGGAGTGCTGGACTAGATGGACCTTGGGTCTGATCCAGCAGCTTATGTTATTGTGTTCTAAGAATACTGGTAACTGGGCCCGAGAACTTTTACTGGGTGCTTGCAATTCCTCACTGATCCTACCTTGGGTCGCGGGTGCTTTAACATGATTTCATCATCCTCCAAGTCCTCTCCCAAGCGTTCCAAGCATTTCCACAGCATTTTTAGAGAAAGTGGTGTATGCTTGAAAATGGCAGAATGAACCCAAATGAAGAGCCCATTTATTTTTGCAATTCTGCTAACCCACAGTGCCACCTTCTGGTTCCCTGATGAAACATATAGAAAGTCAGGAAAAAAATGAGCTCCCTCTGCCATGTGTAAAGGAGCTGAGCTTCATCCTGCTGAGCCAGAAGGCCTCTGCAGCAGCAGTTTAATTGCCTCATGTGGAGGAGTGCAGTCATGTTCCACCTCCAGGGGCTCCGGCCATCTTTCCAATGATCTTCTTAGCTGAAGATGCTGAGTCATGAATCCAGCACTTTTGCAGGCTGTGTGTGTACTACTTAGCTCTGTCCCCACCCCTTTTAAAGAATTATGATCATGATCATTATTATTACTAATTAATTTCTATAATTAGTCAAATTGCCAGTAGTCGACGCTGTCTGGGGGGATCATAACACCTAAGTCATCCATCTGGTTTTCAGCCAGGCCTGACCCTGTTCCGCTCCCAAGATCAGACAGGATGAGGCCCTTCCTCCATGCCTTTAGTCAGAGATTTACCGTCCTTGTAGAAGTTTTGCATTATTTTTTAAACGTCAAGGGGCAGCTTAAGGAAATACTCTATTAGTGACAAAAAGCACTTTCATATCTTTCAAGAATGCCTTTGGGCATAGCCCGCAAGAAGGGTTGCTGTTACAGGAGAAGTGCCCCTATGCATGTGAATGGGTTTGGGGCAAGAGACCATCCTGGTGGATTGGGCCCTTCTGCCCACCTTCCAGTTGGTTTTCTCTCCATTTCTACTCCTGGCCAGTCTGCAGCAGGCTTGTAAACAACCAGTTATCATTGACAACAAACGCATTCCTCCGGGTGATGGCACATTTAGAAACATGGAGACATAGAAACAGAGCAAGTCAAAAGCGGTCTCCCAGGCCGTCTAGTCTGACCCCCAGCTCCAGCCTGCTCCACTCATGACATGCCCACCATGTGCATGCCCAGCCTATCCTTGAACACCCTCACTGATTTGAACCAGTTGATGCTTTCCCACCTTCTCTTTTCATCACACTGATCATGCCATAAATGGATTGTGAGCCTTTTTGAAGGCTGATAAAGCAGCAGCAGCAGCAAAAATTGTGGCCATACAGCAGGAATGTGAGTGCACCAGACAGAAAAGGCACTTCTACAAGGGTCCAACTTCCTCCCATTTCAATGAGACAAGCAGGCGGAAGATGGCCCCCATTTATGTCCAACACCTGAATGCCTGGGTTCTTGGCTAAAATACTGATAAAAGGTGGGCTTACCCACATAGTTTTCATGCTTCCAATTTTACACCTAATCCTTTTTTCATTAGACAGAGAGAAGCTCTTGTAAAAATGCAAAAACTGCAGGGGAGGGACCTTTTGCAATTTTATCAATGGTGTCTTATTTTAGTTCATTCTTTGACAATGTGCATCTCTTAAGAAAGCCATACAGAATGGAGTTTTTTTCATGTTGTTTTTAGGTTCTCTGTATGGTTTGGATTTCTGCCTTTTTTGAATTCCTTCATAGTAAGGGGTGCTGTGTGAGTATATGTGTGTGGGTGTGTTTTCATAAATAAATATATATATATTTATTTTTCAGCGTGTTTAAAACCTGTCTACTAAAAGAACTGAAGCAAACAAAAAGGATGGAGTTTAAACATTGCTTATTTTTTTTGCTGGGGATATTCTATACTATACCGACTTTATATAATAAACCTGTGTTTGTATTGGCAATGTTTAATATTTTGGGGGTTGGGTATGGGGAGATTTTAGTACCCAGAACTGAGCTGGGCAATGACAGTGTTTGTACTAAATTTCTGTCAGTGTAATTCAGGTAACTATGATCCTATTTTCTAGATGATCTCACACTTTCTTGTCTGTCTAGGCATGCCAGCGGTTTGCCTGCTTGATTATATTTACTTTGTCATGGGATTAGCTTAGACATAACTTGCTAAAATCAAAGCTCTTTCAATAAATTGGGATATTGCTGCTAAAAGTGTATTTGTGTTTAACGACATCAGAACATGCATTCTTGATGATCAGCCTTCCCCAGTCTGGGGCCTACAGATGTGTCGAACATCTGGCTAGTGACACTGGGATTTGCAGTCCGACACATCTGAATGGAACCAGGTTAAGGAATGCTACCCCACCCCACCCCCCATTGCAGAGGGTCTTCTGCGCCCCTCCTTCAAGTCTCCAGTATAGACATCCCAGTGGGATGGCCAGGGCAAGATGAAGGAATGCTGGAGTGGCGTTGCTTCTCCCCGGGTCTTAACGCAAGGGGGAGGGCTTGGCCTGGAAGAAGCGTGCCCACCTGGGCCATTTCTCCCATCCCATCCCATCCCATCCCAAAAGACCCTTTTGTCTCTGGGCGACCTCCAGCATCCACTCTTGGCAATAGGAGCTTTCCGGCAGCATCACCCTGCAAACGACTTGTTTGCCCACCTGCTGGCTTAAGGCATTAAAAGCCCTGATAGCTAAACAACTTGCTGCTTCAGAGGCAGTGTCTACTGCCAAGCCATGGGCAAGTCTAGAGGAACGGCTGCTGCTCTCAGGCCCAAGCCGTTGTCGGAAGCCGCATGGTGGACTTAGCCCCGGGAAATTGACCCTGACTCCAGGCTTCCTCAGAAGACCCCTCCAGAGCCTTTCCTAACTCAGGGTCAGTGTTGCCCCATTCTGGAAGGCTGCAACATCCTCCTCCCGTAAAGCGTAGCTGCTGACCGAAAAGGCTCCAAGCTAAAACTGGCCGGCATTTTGACCCCAACCCCCTGCCTTTGCCCCCCCCGCCCCCCCCCCCAGTCCAACACTGAAATTGGTCCTCTGCCTGGAGGAAGTTTGACATCCCTTCATCCCACCTGCACTCAGCAAGTACATGCAATGTCCCCAAGGGCCTAGAGAGAACGCAAGGGCCAATCAAGCTGGGTTTTCCCTGCACTTTCATATGGCGCTCACTTACCTTTCTCCCATCTGAAAATCTTGTAAGAGTTAGACCCAGCAACACTGAGCAGTCCAAGGTCAGGGAGGGTGACCAGTGCTGCCAGTTGCCAGCAGGTGGCTGGAGATAACACTAACACTACTGTCATAAATTGTTATTTTATGTTGTAAGTATCCGGGACACTTTACTGTCCTGATGGTTTTCTTATTTATGTAAGAAATAAATGTGCTGTTCCTATTCGTAAGGTGATACCTTTTTTTAAATGAACGAGAACTGTAGTCTGAGGTACAAGAAAGATTTTTGTGTACATAGCCTGACATATTTACACAGTGCTGTAGTCAAAAAGCTTTTGAATTTTTTTTCAAAGCAAAAAGCAACTTCCTTTTGCACTCCACTGTTTACTGCACTGTGCTGAAACCAAATAGATGAAGCAATACAACGAAGGGTGCACAGGAATATGTTCTTCCCACGGAGGTATGTTGCTGCATGTTCTTCACACTATCAGGGCCCTCAATCTTCCAGGATGGCCTGCGTCTTCTGTTCTTGCAATGTGCCATCAAGTCGCCTCCAACTTATGTCGACCGCATGAATGAGCGCCCCCCAAAATGTCGCACCCTTGCCAGCCCTGTCTCATCAACTCAAGCTCGCGGCTTGCTGTATGCAACCCATCCATCTCACATTTGAATGCAATGATGCAAAATGTGTCTTCTAGCTCCCTGAACTGTGTGTGTGGAGAATTAATTCCCACGGTTCCCAGGGTGCGGTTTGCTCGGTAAGGCTCTCCTGTGAGCAGACCTGGCCACGGGCTTTCCCGCTGTGGCTGCCCCTCTCCCAACAGTAAGGGCAAGGGTTGCAGCAGGTCAGACAGAGCATAACTAGACCCATGGCTCTTCTTTGCCTGAACACTCCCCCCCCCCCCGCAGATGTGGGAGGGGGCGAGGCTTTGCTGGCATCGGACCCAGTGCATTTATTTCCCCTGCTCTTGGAGATATTTTTTTAAGTCACCAAGCTAACATTAAAAGCCTTTTTCCCCAGCCTGGCTGTAGGGCATAGGAAGCCCACCAGCCCCCTCTGTAGGACCGCCTGGCCCAGCTCACAAGGACATTCTAGGCTGCTGTTAACACCTGGATCTGCACCTGCAGTGCTTATTATTAAAATAGCCAGCAAGAGCTCCTTGGGGCTGCACGTAGAGATCTTCAATGGCACCAGATGATGAGAAATTGCACCACCTGGGGCCACCTCCTCAGAAAGCCTTGCAGCAGGACAGCTCGAACACAGGCACCCAAACCCTTCTCTTTGCCAGTCCTTTGTAAACTTATCGGAAAAGACAACGGCGATCATCCTGGATCTATACAGTGGTGTCAAACCTTTCAGCCCAAAGGCCATTTTGGATTAGTTCTTATGGACAAGATGCTGGGTGGGCCAGGAAGCAGGCCCAAGGGCCCAAATACCCACACATTTCAGCTTTAGAAGCGCTTCCCGGGAGTCACCGAGCCTTTCACATGGGGGAAAATGTGCCAAAGGCAAGGCAAAGGTAGGGAATGACAGAACGATCTCAGCCCCTGTGCTTTAAACCACACCTGTGGCCAACTTTCAGGTGCAGCAACTGCCTGCCGTACTAGCAAAGCAAACACCTGCCTGTACAATTTCAAAATACAGCTAGGGACTCACCTAAAGAAAAATTCCTGCACTTGGATAAGTAGATCTGAAGAGGAATTTTGTTTTCTGCTTGAAACGTTCATTTTCTATGGGCAGAGAGTAGTACCTATTTGCACGATTCCATCACAGGTGTGGACACAGAACTCCATAGGCAACTTCTTCACCAGTTGTTTATCAGTGCCCACACTGCAGAAAACCTGCCATGTGGCTTTTCGATGCACAGTTCAGCCCTTGCCACTAGGAGGAGCCCAACTCTCACCAAAATTTCACTGTGCCACTTACAGATGGTAGGCATGCTTTCCCATTGTTCTACAGCATTTTGTTCCTGCTGTCCTTGGGCCCCGGCAGGGGATACTGAAGCAGCGCCTTGACAAGGGCCGACAATCCTGCACAAGCCAGATCGCTCTCCGTTATCCCCTGAGACTTTGTGCAGTTACGTGCTTTCCCCTACTTTGCTTTCACTATCTTAAGGACTAGGAACTTGTGATAAACTGGCGAACTACATGGATAGCATAATTCAGTTTTGAGAACAGGAAAGCAGCAGTTTTAGAGCTGATCTGAATGCTGATTTCTTTAAGCTTGCTGTTTCAAATCTTCCTTAAACATTGCTAGTGCTAAGCCAAGACAGTTTGGACGCATCAAAGCAAACCATTTTGAGAACTGCGTATGGGAGCATTCTGCTCAAAGCAAACAGCTTCTCCCTTGTTAATCCCAAAAAGACCAGGACACCATCATGGGTTTTTTTTTGGAAAAGAATTTTTTTCTGAATATCCAATAAAGCCTCTCAATTTGATTGGCACACTTCCTCCAATACAAAAAAGGAGGTCACCTGAGCACAACACACACAGGCACACAAACACACAGTCAGTACAAGAAGCATCACCTCCAAACTTGTAATATCCTGGAAGAAAAGGGGCATGATTTTAAAAAACGAAACGAAACGAAACAAAACAGCAGCACTTAGGGGGGAAAGAGGAATTACCTGCCCACACACTTGTCTGCCTCGCACTACAGCCCATGTAACTATCTTTCCAACCATGGCACATGAACAAAAATTCTAGTTTGCTTTCTTCCCCCTCTTCCAGCTCATGAAAAACTTTTTTTTTAATCCTTATTTTGTTCTGGCAGCCCTAAGGAATGTTTTAGGTTGCTAGCTGCTATTTTTACAGCCATCATTCCCAGTGTGGGATGAGAAGCATTCCTGACCTAAGAAAAGGAATGCCTGACCTCTGGTACTCATCTAAGCATGGGCACCCCAGAAAGTTGTCACCAAGATGTAGAAAAGATGAATTTGATGTAGCTGGGCTGGCAGGACCGTATCTGAAACCTTGGGAATATAACACGCCCACCCCACAAAACAGGGCTGTCTCCAATCGAAAATAGCTGGAACTCACAGGTCAGGAATCTGTGCCCTCGCACCATCAAACAGGTACAATGTGAACACCCAGTGAGGTGGCTGGACAATGGTTTCTGTGGGGCCCAGCTGGTAACATGACCATTTATTCAACCAGCCTAAAATGGGCTACCAAATAACTTATTCATGCTTTGAGGACACACATCTGCTTTCATAGATAGATGCTCAAGCCAGCCTACCAAGCAGATAATCAGGGTCCAGCTCGCCATGCTGGGTTATTTCAGAGTCTTTCTCACATGGTTGCTGATGGAACAGAAGCTGCTGTCCTGGGGGTGCGGTGGGGGACTCTCTTGTCTGCTTTGTAAAGTTCATTCCAGGCCCATCCAGGACACCCTCCCCTCCGGATGACCTCCATGACTGAACCTGTGTCCATCTTCCTCTTCTTACCTGGCCAAGAACCTCTGAGTTACAAGCACAGCCAGCATTTCCACCTGCAGAGATGTTAAGACACAGTGTACGCAGGCAGCAGAAAAGGCTGGGCAGAGTGGGCAATTCAGGCTGATTAAGATGGGGCACCGCTTCTCAGTGATCCACACATGAAAAGGGCAATTGAGCATGCGATCCTATGCAAATGTAGACAGAAACAGAAACTAAAACACTCAGTGTTTTCCAGCCGGCCATACTGCCTGGGACGTACTAGAACTTGTAGGCCTTTTCTCTGCCAAAACACGCGTAGGATTCTGCATTTACTACAAAGGATCAGACCAGACTCTATTCCCTACTGTATTAGCCTTCTGTATCAAGGTGCTTCTCAAAAATTACGTGACATTCAAAGTATTATCTCCCCACCTTCAGCTTTTAGAGGTACCATCTGCTCTGCCAATGCAACTCTTCCTTTTCATTATGCTTTGGGGATAGCCAGATCTGTATGAGCAGTGAATGTCTGTTTAACACTGACAATCTTCCTCGGCTGTCATTGTCCAAAAGGCAAGTCAGCGCCTAGGTATAAATCCCAAAATTCAATGATCTGCCATTTCCCCTCAAGATGCAAAGAAAAAGACTTTACATCATTCACCCACTGTACCTGGCATTGTCAAGATTCAGCAAATCTTGGACAGTGGGAAACCTATAAAAATACATTGGATAAAAGTGACCTAATATTCAGCAACCTGGCTGACTGGAGAAAAGGCTTCCGCCGCTACCATCAGGAAGGACGGCACTTTCATGTTTGGACGGGCTAAATTCTGCCATGATATTCTGAAATGGTACAGCCCAGGAAGAGCTCTTGATGTGACTGTTCTCAAGATGTGTTTTTGGCATTTGTGTTCTACTAAAGCAGGCTTAATCAAAACCAAATCCCTTTAGTTTCACTGGGATCCATTTCCAAGTAGGCAATGTCAGGAGGGCACCAAAGCACAACCCCATCCGTATTTAGTCAGAAATAAGTCCCACTGTGACTGTGGCCTTGATCTCTTTGCGGGTGGAGAGGAGGCTGCAAGATTTCACACGGCTACTTTTATAAATCGAAAAGTGAACCACACACACACACACACGCGCGCGCAACGCAGTGTGATCCTAATGCTTACTGGGGCAATTCCCCCTGCATTCAGTAGGACACACTGCTAAATGAGCATGCACAGGACTGCAGACTTAAGCCACCAGAAGGCCACTTTGAATGGGGATGTGGGGAAAGGGGCGATTATCTTCCGGCATCAACAGTTATGGCAGATTCGGGAGGCCTTTGTCTACCCCCTTGCAGCCAGGAGACTGCACAGCAAAGTTAAGAAGAATCGGACCAGGACCAAACATCTCCCACCTGCCCAATTTATGCACATGAGGAAGTCATCTTTACAAATCTCAGTTTTGCTACTAGCTGATCCCATAAATAGAATGCAAGATCTGCTTAAAAATCCTAGTGCAGTTGGGTGTAGTGCAAAGAGTGGTGATCTGAGGGGCCATTTTCTTGCACAAAGCTGTCTGTCCCCCTTTTCCAGGCTTTTAGCTACAGCCCACCGGAAGCAAACACCTCGGGTGTACATGATCCGAAAATAAAGAGTGGCCACATACCTATGTATCTTCCAGCGAGGTTCTGTGCCAGTGGATTGGGTCCAAGAGCCTTTTTTTTCTGTTTTGGTCATTTCAGAGCAGAGATTTCCACCCAAATCTGCCCAACATTATTAGGTCCTTAACAGGAAACTTCTTCACATTGGGCAGCGCACCATTAAAATAACCATGCTAACCGTGCTAAATGGACCAACCATAAAATTAAAGCCTTAATGGGATTAGGTTGGAAAGCAGAGTTAACTAAAATAAAAAAGGGACTTTTAAACAGCCTAGCTAAATATTTATGGAGATAGATGAAATCCTGGTTAGAACATTAACGAATTTTACATGTGCAATACCTTTAAAATTCCAGAATATTTTCTCCAGATTAAAAGTGTAGGGCACAATGGCATTATGACATGCTTCTGCACAAGCCCTCCCCACAGAATGAGGGGAAGACCCCACATTTGGGGGGGGAGGCTTCCGCAGAACTTGTCCTTGGATGATTGCGCAATCCCTTGACACAGGAAGTGCCCCGGCTCTTGTATCGTCACCATCTGGCGCATTTAAGTGCAGAACAGCACACCACTGCTGAATGGATGCCCCCCTTCCCCGAAAAGCAACGACATCTCAGTCCTGCAAAGCTGAGCCACAGAATTTCAGACAGGTAGAAGGAAGTCAGTGAAAAAAGCAGAGCTAAATAAAACCTCAATGTTCAACATTTGGCAAGTTTCCCTCACTGCGAAAACAAACTCAAGATGTTTTGTTTAAAAAATAAATCCTGATTCCAAAATTCAAATTCAAGCCAGAATTGCAGGGTTGGGGAGTCGAGTGTCTTTGCTGCACTTTCAGTTTTGCTGCCCAGATCCAGCGCCAAAGGAAAACCTGCTGCAGATCCGTCCCTCAGTTTCTCACTAAAACGTGCAACTCAAGTCTGGGATGATGGGTATAGAAGTTGAAGCGTTCCCTTGTGCGGTCAGAGTGACTTGCAATGCAAATTCATTCTGAGTTGAGGAAAAAAGGCCAGGCTGCCGTTTGAGTGCATAGCTTATTCCTTGCAAGAGACCAGCATATTAATTCCACTGTGGGGCCATTCTTAAGCCAGACTGCAAAGTCTGAAAGTTTCCTTTAACAGCTGCCTTCTCCAGGCACCATGGGCTTTGCACGCAGGGGAAAAAAGAAAGCAAAGGGGAGCATGTGGAGGAAAAGGGCGTGAAAGCACAACGGCTTCCAAGGTTCAGGGGACACGGAACAGTTTTGTTAATCACATCTGCGCCCTAGACTTGACTAGGCACATCATCTTCAAAATCCAGATTTTAAAAATAGCATGGAGAATACCTTTTCTCTCAGAGAAACATACTGCATCCAGTAACTGAAATGGGTGAAGGCAGAGTGGGGGTGGGGGTGGGGTCCTTCTAATGCCTCTTGCATCATTGGCCAAAAATACCGAAGCTAAACAGAAAGAAACAACCCAGGAAAAAAACAAAAGCAGATATAAAGATCTGTTTTCTTTTAGCCTGAAAGCTCAGCCTGACTTGGGCCTTTGGCTCTAACAGCCAGATCCCTTTATGCAGTTTTTCTTTTACTTAGCACTGCTGGCTCACCCATCTTCCAAGTCTTCAATGCTGCAAGACACTGAATGGGAGGGGAGGAACGGATGGGTCTCCTGGAGCAGAGGGGCAGGAAAAGTAGCTTATTTCCCTCTATAAAAAAAACAAAAAGAAAAGAAAGACACCATAAAGGAAAAAGAAAAGAAAAGGGGATGATCTTCATACGGGCAGACATGGATAGAGTTGCCATTAACCTAACGAGGTTGATGGCAGGTATAAAAAACTAGTAATGCAAAATTAAGTCAGAAAGACTCCAATTGTGGTAGTTTAGAAGCCTTCGGTGGGGTTCCATGTGGGTTGCACAGCTAGAGACGGACGACGACGACCCCCGCTTTCCTTCTCATGGAGCTACCGCCACGACCGTCCACACCAGAGACTCTTTTTTCCTGAGCCAAGGCACAGGTGGGAGCCCTCCACCTTGGGTGGGAAGCCGTTTTTCACCAGGATGAGGGTGGATGGTGAGCAAGGTCAGGCTGGAAAGGCACAGAAGTGCAAAATGCGCAAGGAGAATCGTGAGCTGCAGGCGGCATCCCGGAGCTCGGCAGGAAGACGGCACCACTCAGTCGACAAACCGCTGGCAAGCCTTCTTCCAACGGCAGGCAGTGCACCACATGTTACGATTCTCCATCCCATAGACCTTGCGGCACTTCTTTGCCTCGCCACGCGGCTTCCTAGGCAGAGGAAGAGGAACATTCAGAGGAAGGGGGTCCTGCCTGCCCAAAGGGGCCAAGCCGTGGCCGTGGCCGCCGCCTCCTCCCAGGGATTCAAGGCGTGGCTGAAGCCGAGCAGCAGGACATCGTGCAGAAGGCTGCAGGCTGAAGAAAGGCTTGGAAAGCAAGCGACGGAAAGGGCCGACTCACCTGGTGCCCGCTGTAGGCTTTGGAACGGAAGAAGGCACTATCGGGTGTCCTTTGGCAACGGGTGTGTGGGGTGCTGGGGGAGGTTTCTCTCCGGCATCGGCAGGCCGAATGGGGGTGAGGCAGCCCTGGAGGAAGGAAGAACAGAGCGCTCAGAATCGCTCAGGAAACGGGAAGGGCAGCCACAAAGTACGCCAGGCACCAAGTTTATACTCTTTCTGGCACCAGGCCAAAACCTTTTTATTTAAACAATATTTCTAAATTTAACAACTTTTAACCTTCAGTCGCTCTGTTTGTTTTGTGATTTATTCTTTTGTTCCGTTTCTATTATTTATTAGAAATTGTTGTTTTAATTGTTCTTTTAAATATTATAAGCCGTCCTGAGATTTGTGTGTAATAGGATGGCATACAAAAGCGTTTAAGAAGGGAGGACAGACGGACCACCATGGAATAGGGACTTCTTCTCCATCAGGGGACAGGTGCCTGCAGAGGAGCCAACAGCTCCGGCAGCCAGTCGCTAAGCGCTGATGTCCAGTGTCTGCAGCAGCTGGCCCTCCTGACCGAGGGAGCAGCCTGGTGGTCTCCTCTTACTTACCGCAGGGCTTTTGAAGAGGACGGGGGGAAGAGGTGGTGGGAAAAGGGCCGGCTGCTGCCATGATATGCTGATTTCCATTCCAGTGGCTGGGGCAGTCAGATCTGTCAACACACCAGCAGGTCCTGAAGCCTGAAAGCCAAGGCAAAGCATTTCAGTCCAGTGGAGCAGAGGTCCAGGGGTTTCGTCAGGTTTGCACGGCTGCTGGTCCTGCCCAATGTGGAGATCCTGCAACTGGCTCAGGAGGGAAGCACCACATCTCTATGCCTGCAGCCCCCCAACAGACACCTGGCGGTGCTCCATCGACGGAAGCTCACCTGGTAGGCATGGTCAGTTTGGATGTGGCACAGGCTCGTGGGTGCGGATTGGCTCAGAATGGTCATGGGTGTTGACTGGCTCAGGTGAGACACCATGGAGACCTCCGGCTTGAACGGGATTGGTGGGGTCTCCTGGACCTCCTCCAGGATGGGGAAGGCAGGGGGCACCGAGGAGGTGGGCGAGACTGGAGTCAGGCTGGACAGACCATCTGTCAGGGAATCCACGTTGACATCCAGCTCGGTGTAGTAGAAATCTTCCTCCCCATCGCTTTGATCCAGGTCAGCTTTCCGCCTGGCCAAAGGAAAGAGAGGGCAAGAAAAACGGGGTTTATCAGCCCCAGCCAGCATGCCCTGATTTTTGGAGGCACGCGGTGTACCGGCAGTGCACTGGTGCCAAGAGACACGGCACTGCCTGCCCACGGCTAGCCGGGGGGGCAATATGCTGAGGCCCGTGAACGCACGTCCCAGGGCCCCCCACAACATGCACGCTGCGCTGCGCTGCCTGCCACCACTGACGCCGGGCCCCGCTGAGTGCCGACCGAGGCTTTCTGGGAGAAGCCAGATGGCAGCAGCTGGGAGCCAGCAGTAAAATGTGTTTGCTGCCGCCAAGAAATCATCTCTGGGCAGGAAGAACCCCGGTACTCCCAGGCAGCCTGATGCCCTCCAACGTGGGCCTGGAGACAGACGGACGCCTGGGGTCACTCAGGTGGCAATATGGGGTCGGACAAGCACGAAGCCTACTCAGTCGCTGAGGAGTCACGCGCCGCATAAACCGCAGCAGACTTTCTCCCGCGTGGCCCCTTTCCAAACGCGTTGGGATTCCATCTCAGCCAGCAGGCCTCTTGGCAAGAGCTTCCAACCAGCGGCAGCCCCAACAAAGAGAGCTTTGCAGTAGTCAAGCCAGAAGGTGACCAGACTGCAGACAGCCCAGGCCGAGCCGCTTCAAGGCCTCAGAACGTGGCAAACCATGAATGTCATGCTCCCTTCCACATGCTCAGTGGCACTGAAAATGTCACGGGCATCCCCTGCACTGCTGGCCCATCCAATGAACGGCAGGACTGCCAACCCAGTGTCCCCTCCTGGTTACCGCTTCTCCTTGGAATATCTGGAATATTTCGATGTGACAAAAGTTCCGCTCCAGCCTTCTCTTTGCACCCAGAGGGTCTGTGCCTGCAACGCAAGGCAAACGGAGCCCGGCCACGAGGCCAACTTACCCCAGATGGATGGTTCTGATGTGCTTCTGCATCCCAGAGGAACTGCTCAGTACCTTCCCACAGTTCTTCCATAAGCACTTGAACATCACCTTGGTGGAGTTCTGTAACGGGAGAAGGTGCCTTTCAAGGTTCAGGGTCCAAAATTGAACTCACACCCTGTCCCAGGGACCAACAAACCATCTTTGGCGTGGCTGGCCTAAAAGGTGCTGGCCGCCAAATCGAAAACGATCAGAGTCACCAAATAAAGGCCAGCTGTTTTGCTTTACAGGTCAGCTCTGAAATGCCCGGTTTTTTAGAGTTGCCAGGTGTGAGGGGCGGGAGCAACGAGGAGGGGCAAAGCCTGCCCAAGTTTAGACTGCAGACTGTTTCAGTGAGGACCCGTCTCTTGCCCTGCATCAAACTGAAACGCCCTGTGCATTGAGCACACTGCAAATATCGACAACATAGGATGTCCTTCTTGTTCCCAGTCTGAAACCAACTCTGCTGGAATCCCATCGGGGGAGCCAGCCATGGACATGGCTGCAGCCCTACGAAAGCAGGACGGCAACGCAGTTGTAAACCTTACGCACACTGCGGGATGCTCTGTTTGCTCACATAATGGGATGCCCCTCCATGCACAAAACATCACTGCAGAACTCCTGCGGCAAACAGAGGAGGCCCCTTGCGGTTTGGCCTTGCTCCCAGTGTGCCAGTCCTGCTTAGTGCCACAGAGCCCCAGGAAACGCGTCTCATTTCTTTGCGAGGAGGAGCAATGCGGCCTGAAACACGGAGTGGTGAAGCTCAGGCAGAAATCTGCGTTCCCAAGATCACAGTCCAGCTATTCCAGAACTGCTGCTCCAGTCAGCATCCCGGAAGGCTGCACCCCAACAAGATCCAATGTTTCCACCAGGCTCTTTCACTGCATGAGTACAATCTGTTTCCCCAGCTGTCTCACTCTCTCACCTTCCTCTTCCTGGGGATCGGATCGCCGAACAGGAAGTGAGTCGCTTCCGTTTCCTCGAGTTCTGACTGCAGGGAAGAAAGGAAGCTGGGGGCAGCATCCGTTGAGAGCGGGGGCGATGGTGTGGATGGGGTGGAGAGGTCGCTCGGAGCATCCCAGCTCCAATCGCCACTGTTGCTGCTGCAACTGGAGGACATGCCCAGACCCTCCTTCCACGCATCGCCGTTCATCTCTGCAAAAGAAGCGAAGCCCCCGAGCCTCATTCAGCTGGCAAGACAGACGCCCCGACTGCACCTCAGCTCCCTTGCGGCCCAAGGACATGCCAGCACAAGCCTGCAGCTGGACTGCCCTAATGGCGGACATGGGGCTGCCTCGGAAAGCACGCGGCGAGGGCTGGACGTGGAATGCCTGGAACATGAGTGCAGGGCCCGAGATGAACCACTGCGGACAGGAGAAGTGGCACACCTGCTGAATCCGCCAGCCACCTACTGGGCAGGCCTCCCTGAGCCCAAGGCCCGTGCTCCCGCACCCTCGCCCTTTGCCGTACCTGTGCCGAAACCGTTGGGCGCGTGGTTAAGCACAACGGGGCTGGTGGACAAGCTGGTGAGGACCGCGGCCGCCATGACTTCGTCGATGCCCGCCTTCTCGGAGAGCCTCCTGTGGGACAAAGGGGGTGGGGGAGGAGAACACATCAGGCTGAAAGCTGGGTCAAAAGGTGCAGGATGGGACCCCGCAGAGGGAAATGTGAGGTCCTGCATCTCAAGAGAGATCATCCTCATCGGCATCATCAGGCAGGTACAGGATGGGGAGGCCCTGTGTAGCCCACGTGTCTGTGAAACGGAAAGAGGGGGCTTGGCGGACCCCAAGTCCAACGTGACGCAAGACCACTGCTCCAACAGAAGGATCACGTCCGGTAAGTCCATCCTGCAAGTGAAGCACTATACCAAGCTCAAGGCCAAGCTGTGGGAGAGTGCATCAGGAGGAGAGAGTCTAGGATGGCTAGAAATTAGGCCCTGCAAGGCGTGGTTGAAAAAGCCAGGTGTGTTCACCCTCGAGAAGATGAAGGAGAGAGACAGGGCAGCATCTCCAAACATCTAAAAGGCCGCCATGCGGCAGATGGCACAAAATGATTTTCTGTTGCTCCAAAGCAGCCTTCCGCAGCATGAGGCCTTCTAGATGTCTGGGACTACAACTCCCATCACCCTCACCCAGCATCCATCTTGCCTGGGGCTGACGGGAGGTCTAACCTGACATATCTGCCAGGCACTGCCCTGGAAAAAGCTGATTTGGGACAGACCAAGCAGCCTCAGTGGCCAACCAAAGCTGTCCTCCTGCCACCGCCTCCAACCTCCTGGTTTAACGGAAGGTCACAACCACACAGCCAACTATAGCCACAAAAACAGAAGCAGAGCCAAGCTGCCCTTCCTACAACAAGTCCGAGTGTTTTCTTCCAAGGCAAGATGGAATCCGCAGGGCAGATGAGAAAGAAGCCTGCACAGACCATGCCATGGGGAAGAGAAGCCCAAGTCTCCACCGCTCCTTCCTCCTGGGAAGCAGCATTTCGCAGGCCCCGCGCAAGCACTGACTACCCTGATTGAAAGTGCTGGATATTTGTGGCCTGCATAGAAAAATACAGTGTAACCTGCCATACCTTATAGCAGGAAGCATAAATGCATGTTAAGGCTGGCAGGTCCAGAAAGCCAAGCTACAGCCAAGCACTGCGGAACATTGAACGGAAACGGAACATATGTGTCTGCACAGACTCATCACTCTATTTCAAAGCAAGGTGCCAAAGAAATTTGCGTGCTTTCATTCATAGCTCTATCCGATTTCCACATTAAATCAGAGAGATATTTTGAATCTGCACTATATAAACAAACAGTTTAAAAAGTATTTTCTTCCTGAATGTATTTGCAGTTCTTCGGAGGGAAAGAAGCTATTCCATCACGGGTGATCCATGGCATCTACTCCCCACCCGAGACCTCGGAAGCAAAGCCGGAGGTGCTGCTTTAGGGGACAGATGCCCGAACTCGTTTTAGCTGTTCCATACTTTTAAATAGCTTTAAATTTTGTATCAAATGTTAGGCTTTTTTTACAGTATTTACGGTTTCAGTATATTTCATTGCATAGTATAAATCACTGCTAACTGCCCAGAAAGCTTCAGCTACTGGGAAGTACAGAAATGGAATAAACACATACACACATCTAAAGTATTTGGTCCTAAAATACACTGTTTGAAATGCCAAGCGGAGAACTGCAGAAACACAAAATCCAAAGGATCACAGAGTTCCTTTCCACATATTCATCCAGCTGTAGGTGGGTCAGCCTGATTAGCTCTGAATTGTGAACTGGACAAAACTCTCAAGCCTCTACAATCTAGACTGACCCAGCCCATGTTCCTCAGCCTGGACACGGCAGCCATAGTTCAACCACAAATGTGGCTCAGCCTACCTGTCATCCTAGGAGCTGCCGTTATGAGCGGCAACAGGGGAGAAGTTCCTTGGATCCAATGCCGTTCCCTAAATCTGCACTTTCAAATCGACATGTGACCTGAACCTCTGTTCTCCTTCAAAACTTGCACCGCTCCAAGTTTTACAGAGGAGTTCTCCAATCAAAACATGGTGCCGCCAAGATGCACGCATTTGGGGAAAGTGCACACAAAATACATCCATCAGTGAAAATAATGTTAAAATGGTGTTACGTTGGGAAAATAGCTTGCAAATTGTTTATACTAGGCAAAATTATGTACAAAAGGCTAGTATTTCAAGAAATGTGCACAAATTCATTTTCCAATTCTTATGTAAATTAAAACAATTGGTCATAACAAACTGAAATTGGGATTGAAGGGAAACTAAAATATTCAACCCTACATCCCACTGTTTCCAGAACCTGGTCATCTGGTTTGCTCTTTCTAGTTCCTTCACAGAGTAATATTTCCCAGGATCCCACCAGAGGCAGGGACAATTCAGGAGGGGAAGGATATTGAGATTCATCAGGGCCAGGTTCACATCTCCTATTTTCCAGCTGTTCCCTTCATCCATGAGGACTGGAAACATTTTCCCTTTTCTAAAAAAAAAAAAAAAAGATCACTTTTCTCAGGATGTTAACTCTAGAATCAGGCACCTGTGCCAAAAAATACTCCCAAAATGTACCAATACACAGAATCCACCCTGAATCTGAAAGGACAATTTTGTTTGCAAGCTTTTCCTTGGTGCATGCTAGACTTCAGCCAGCGTGCTGTGCTGCTCCGCTTCTCCTTCCATCCCCCAACCACAACTATCTTGGCTCTCAAGATCAGCCCTGGCCTATGTCCAGGGATGGGTGTGTGTGTGTGTGTGTGCGCGCGCGCGGGTGGGCTGCAGCGTGAGCACAACACACAATTTTAACAATGACTGTATTCTACAGCTGGCTCATTCCCTCTCCTAACGGTCTGCTCGAGGCCACGTCTGTTCAGATGCGCTCTGGGCAATCCCCCGTGGTTAATCCGTTACGTTAAATTCCACCCGGAGTTCTCTTTTCACCAACATCTGGGTGCTCCACCAAACCTCAGTTGCGTTTCTCCCCAAGGACTAAGCAGACACTCAGCTTGTCTGTTGACTGGCACAACCAAAAGGGCAAGCAGAAGATGCTTATTTTTTTATTTAGAAAATTTCTATGCCGCCCCATTCGCCGAAGCCTTGGGGCGGCTCACAAATATATCGATTAAAATATTATACAGTAAAAATATAAACCAAGTTAACAATATAAAATGTTGAACAAGGGGTGCTCGATGGCCATGCTGGCTGGGGACAATGGGCATTGTACTCCATGACATGGGGAAAGGCTTCAGGGCAGCAGTACCTGAGTAGCTATACTAGGTATACAGTCCAAGCACGGGGGACGGGTGGGGACGGTTGTATGAACTGGCCGACCAGCCTTAAAACCAGTGAGCTAGAAAGTTGCCGCTTTCCCCATTAGTCTAAGACAGGACATGCCAACACCAGCTTGCAATTTCAGCACACCACTTTATCTTCTCACCACAGGAGCACATTAATAAGCGGGCTCTGCCATTCTGCAGCGCACCCAGTTTTAAATAGCTTGCTTTCATTAGCTCTCCCCTGTCTCATTTCAAAAGTATTTGGGCAAGATGAAAAGTCACAGACGGGTGGTGGACTTGCTACAGTTCTACAGGGATGCAAATCGCCGTATCTCTGCAAATGCAGTGCTGCTCATGTATTTCAACTTCTTAAGAACCTGAGCTGTGCTCTTCGTTTCCTTTTTCTTAGAACAGAAAGTTACTAGCCCTCATGGTTGCCATAACACACTTGACATGCCCGGGCAAGCCAGAAATGAGTGAGATTTCCAGGAGCTGGGAGGAGGACTCATAGCTGGCTGCATTCCCCCAGCCCCTCCCGCAACTAGGAAACCTGGATGAAGTCATGCAGAAATAGTAAACATTCATGGTTCACGCGTTTTGGCTGTCCTCGGCTTAGCTTCTGCTCTACCACCCGCTGCGGTTGGGCTGTGAGGAAATCACCGCAGCCTGCAGCCCAGTCACTACTATGAGCACAACGTGCAGGAGGTGCCATATAAAAGTCGAGAGATAAACTGAGCAAAGGAAGATAGCTTGTGCAAACCCGGGCAATTGCACTGGTTGCGGGACTCGCCTTCGCTCATCACAACATTCGGGCTGCAGGGCTGTCGCTGTCAGCTTATCTTTTTTTTAACAAGGGAGGCACGTACCACCCCGGGCTTACACGCTGCACTCCAAGTTGTCGAAAGCAGTGACGGTCACAGGAACCCCCGAGCTTTTGGCTTGCAAGCAAGCGCTGCTCAGAGAAGTCAAAAGGCCCCTGGCGGTGCAAAAGCAGCGGCTGCTGCCTGGCAGCAAGCACCACAAAAGCAGGACAGGTGTGAAAGACACTGCCTGCCCCTTCTCATGCACACCGCCCATCACTGTGCCCCGAGCCCGGTGAGCCAACGGGAACCTTGCTGCCGTTTCATTCAGTGCCAGTGTGCCAACTGCTGCCTTCAACCCCCACAAGGCTTCCTGGCGCAGCTCACGATCCCCCAAAGGACAGGCAACTGCCTACTTTTCGTTCCCCAGCCCAGACTGCAACTGCTGCCAAAGAGCCAGGCTGGAGCACAAAGGGCGGATCGGCGAGAGAAGCTCCCACTGCGGCCCTTTAGCTCGAGAAGCAACGGAACCGAAGAGGGGCTCTGTGGAGCACATGTAACTGGCAGGACGGCGGGAGACCAGCGGCCACTGGCTGGCTGAGGAACGCTGCAAGTCAAAGGGCTTTTTCCCTGTCTAAACCACACAGAGAGGCGCGCTCTTAAACATTTTGCTCTTCCAAGGCTGACAGAACTCGTGGTGCTGCTACTGCGCATTTTGTCCTGAACTGTGGAAGTTCCAAGTTCTTAACAATTTTAGAGAAACTTGCAGCTTAAATTGAGTAGGGCAGGAAGCTGAAAACATCATCTTCTGGGCTTCTGGGGCTTCTGGGCCCCTCTCTGAAAAGCTACAGTTCAATACGGGGGTCTGTCCCATAAACGTAAATTGCAGGGATCACCCTTTTTTGCATCTACTGCGTTGTTTTTGCAAAAATGCAACACCTGTGCAGAGTTCCGAGTTTGTTGCACAGAAAGGGAGAGAGGACTCTCCAAAGCTCAACTGC